CAAGTAATTCGTTCTAACTCCTCCAGCAATTTTCGGCACCGTTGGTGCTTTTTCCCTGCCGAGTGATCGATGTCTTGCTCGGTAAGCGGTGTGTCGTTGACAGAACGGACGACAGATGATATTTTATTCGTATGGGTTTGATGGTGCGCTGTTGACTTCTCAAGTTTTTTTTCTTTTTTTTTCTTAATTTGACACAGCGAATCCACCTCTATCTACAGAAAAGAGTCTAAGATAGATTTGCAATGAATTCGGAGCGTCAGCAAAAGCTACCAATGTCTCTACGATTTCTCAAGCAGCATGCAGCGGTAACTCCCCTGTGGGTAACAGACTCAACAAGACAGTTTGGTAGCGCCGTTATTTGTTGGATTTGGTGATCTACATTGCTAGCACGCGACAGCAATCGTTCTTCTTTTTATTTAGAAACAATAAATACGCACACAGAAAGAATACCCATTCAAGATATACCCACAGTCGAACGGGATGTGGTGGAGTCTTTTCTTTTATGTTTCCTCTTGTTCCCTTTTTTGTCCGGTCCGCAGGTCTTGCCGTGGGTCTGATGGTCAACTACGGCGTTGGGCAACAGTTCGACTTCAATGCGGACGTGTTCTTCTACGTTGTCTTGCCGCCGATCATCTTTCACCAGGCGCGTGCTGTTGGTAATTTTAAATCATTTTTCTCTTCATCCATTGCTAAAACAAATTTTATTTGATTGGCTCATGAGAGGCGTGCTACTCGTTTTTTATTGGTGGGCGTGTCGCTGGCGAAACGTCTCGGGGTAATTGTGGCTGACAAGCGGTCGGGGTAATTGTGTGCTTTGCGTAGCTCCTCGGGGGGATTGTATGTTGTAGGTAGGGTGGTTCTGTGGCAATCAACATTTTTTTGTATTGTTGCGTCCCCAACGATCTAATAAATTATATAAAGACATCCGTGTTCCGGGCCGCCGGTCTCTCCCTCCCTCCCTTCACCCTCCCCCCCCTCCCCCCTCTCTCTGCTGCTGTGCCTGTGTAGGGTTACGCCCTCAAGAAGCGAAATTTCTTCAAGTACTTCCACTACATCTTCAGCTTCGGTTTCCTCGGGACTGTTATCCAGTTCATCACCATCACCGTGCTGGCCCTCTACGCTAGCAACTCCCAATACGTGAGTAATTAGTAAGGGTTGCGACAGAAGCGTTGACTGGTCAAACACCGAGCAGGGCTAGCAACTCCCAATACGTGAGTAAATAGTAAGGGTTGCGACAGAAGCGTGACTGGTCAAACACCGAGCATCTTGAGGGATGACAGTCAGTAAGGGTTGCGGCAGAAGCGTGACTGGTCAAACACCGAGCATCTTGAGGGATGACAGTGTCCCAGAATAAGCTGAACCCATTCGGCGAGACGAAAAGACCTCTCCGCTTCTTGATCCGAAACCCGTTTGGCCCATGTAGAGCACATGCACACATACAACCACGTCTTGCCGCTGCTTTGCGTTTGCCCCCCGGCAATTCAACCAGAGGAGCATGTTGAGGGACGACGGGGTTCCTGTCGGAGGCTGTCTCCCCCTGCGGCAAAAAAAAACAAGCGCCTTCGCTGCTTGATCCGAAAACCTGTTTGGCCATGGTGATACCGTAATATTCCACTTGCTGCTTCTAATTCTACATGGCTGGTTTAAATTCCGACCAATCAGATGAACATCTTGAGGGACCACGGCGTTCCTTTCAGAAGCTGTATCCCCTGTGGCAAAAAAAAAAACAGCCTCCGCTGCTTGATCCGAAAGTCGTTGGTAGCGATAATACGATCTGATACGATCTTGCTTGTTTCTAATTCCATCTGGCTGGTTTAAATCCGATCCAACCACATGAGCATCTTGAGGGACGACGGCGTTCCTGTCAGAAGTTGTATCCCCTGCGGCACAAAAAAAACAAGCGCCTTCGCGTCTTGTCCCGAAAACCCGTTTTGGCCATGGTAACACGGTAAAATCCCATCTTGCTTGCTTTAAATACCATCCAACCAGATGAGCATCTTGAGGGACGACGGCGTTCCTATCGGGCTCTCGCTTCACGAGTGCATGCTCATGGCGGCCGTCTTCAGCGCGGCGGACGAGGTCGCCACTCTCTCGCTCATCAAGCAGGTGCGTCCCCCAAGGACAGCAGCCGAACCACGGTTAAAGGACACTCCTGGCGTTTTTTTTTTTGCTAGAAACAACTGCAGAAGTGGGCCCTGTATAGTGCCGGTACCTACGTGTCCAGAGGTTTTACCGGCACTATGTCGGGCCACCGGCACTATCTATTCAGAAGATTGATATAGGTGTTAGTATAGTGGTGGACACTCGTGTCCTGAGATTTGACGGGCACTATACCGGAGTACTGTGGCACTACTCAACCGGCACTACACAGGGCCCACTACTGTACAGAAAATGGACATAAAGGTTTTAGTATAGTAGTGGACACTCGTGTCCAGAGATTTGACCGGCACTACACCGGGCTACCGCCACGTTCTATTTGAACAGGGGTACAATATATATGTTTTAGTATGGGAGTGGTGTCCTGAGATTTTGACCGGCACTATACCGGAGTGCTGTGGCACTACTCAACCGGCACTACACAGGGCCCACTACTGTACAAAATATTGATATATAGGTTTTAGTATAGTAGTAGTGGACACTCGGGTCCTGAGATTTTGACCGGCACTATACCGGAATGTGGCACTGTTCAACCGGCACTATACAGGGCCCACAACTGTGTCCGCAAGCAGGCGAAGTTGATACGTACCCCCCCCTCCTTGTGTTGTACATTCTGCGAGCCACCATGCCTGTGAAAAGACAAGTCGTCCTTGTTTCCGAGGGAGTTTTCTCAATTTTGGTGTCCTTCTTATTAAGCGAGGCACGCATGTTATGTTCGGAGGGGAGTCGATCATCAGCTGCAACTCCGAAGTCGATTTTCAATTGCAGTTCGCCGTGGTCGGTTGCAACACCGCATACGACACAAGATAGTATACCCCCCCTAGACCAATTTTCAAAGCTCGATTACTCCACGACGAAGAAGATGCATAAACGAAACGATACGTTTTCGGAGAGCTCTTGACCAGACGGCTCCAACGCCATCGTTTTCGGCGCTGCGGCTCTTTCTGCTGTTGATAAATCAAGCTTTGAAAATCGGTCCGGGGTGTGTGTTATCTTGTGTCGTCTTCGGCACCCCCGTTCGTCGGTAACACCGGCGGGGAGTGTTTCGGGGCGTTGTTGGCACAGATAGGATAGAGCCATTGGGCAGAGTTGTCTTGCTTGCTTGTTGGCGCGCTCATTTCAAACCACGGAGCCCCTCCTATGTCGGGATGCGTGGGAGCGGCAAAAGCGCAACATGGTGAGTGTTTATTCGCACTATACCAATTTTGGGGCGTGACGTATTGGTCTGTGTTACCGTAGTTTTGCTCCTACTCGATCCCGCTTTCACGTCGAGGGTGTCGAAATCACCACCTTGTGACTTTGCTCATGTATATGGTTTTTTTGTTTTTTTTGCTCTCGGGATTCGAAAATCACTTCATGTTTGCGACTTTTTCTGTTGTTGCTTGTGGACATCAGGCGGAGTTCCCGAAGCTTAGCGCCGTGCTCTTCGGGGAGGGAGTTCTTAACGACGCGATGAGCATTCTTCTCTTCCAGACGGTGAGAGGCGAAAAGTTTATACGCTAACAACCCTAACCCTAGCCTTCTTGTACATAATTTCTTGTTCTACTTCGTTGGCCAGATCTGACCAGTCGGGATAAGACTTGTGCACGAGCATATATTGGTAACCAGTCAGTAGACTATCATAACCTGGAGCTCTACCCCCCCTTGAACGTAGTTCCGTGTTCTGCTTCGTTGTCCGCATCCTACCGGTCGGCGTAAGACGTGTGCACCTACTCATTGAAATTCCCGTCCAACCCTAAACGTTTCCCTAACCTTCCTCAACATAGTTTTGTGTTGTGCTTCGTTATCCAGATCCGACCAGTCGGGATACAATAAGACGTGTGCACAAACTCATTGCAATCCATGCAGTAGCCTATCAATAACCCGGAGCTCAATTCCAATACCCTAGCCCCAACGGTAGCCTTCCTCTGTCCCAGACGGTGGGAGGCGGATGGCGAGCCTTTGGGTGTACCGTAGGTTGCATGACGTAAGATATCACACCCCCTGGACCAATTTTCAAAGCTCGATTTCTCCGCAGGAAAAGTAGTGACGGTGCCGAAAATAGCGGGAGGCGTTGGAATCGTCGTCTCCTCGAGAGAGCTTTTGCGACAACGTGTCCTTTGATTTTTCGGCATCCTGTTTGTCGTGAAGTAATCGAGCTTTGAAAATCTATCCTGGGGGTGTGATATCTTACGTCATGCAAGCTACGGTTTGTGTCAGGGCGTCAGTTTATCAATTCGGTCGAGCGTTTGGAATAATCATGCACGACGTTGGGCAGCACGAAAGCTAAACTTAGGGCATGCCCCACGCGGCAGCGCGGGCCCCTTTGAGCGGGAGCCTCCACCCAGGTTTTTATGAAGCAAACATACTCGGGTAGAGTACAAAACCGGTGGAATATTAGGGTTTTCGGTTAGGGCTAGGTCTATCGTAACCCCTGCTTCTCTATTTCATAGATGAGCATTAAATTTCTTCGCGTAGTAAAAACAACACTAAACTCTGCATCCTGCGCCACATCATCGATCGAGCCCCGTAAATATCATGGGTATATAAACATTAAATTTCTTCGCGTACAACAGCAGCACTAAACTCTGCATCCTGCACCACACCATCCAACGAGTCCCGTACGCGTCATAGGTAAACACAAAAATTTCTTCGTGTAGTGCAGCGGCACTAAACTCTGCCATCCTTGTACCACACCATCCAACGAGTCCCGCCGCACTTTTTTTCTTTCTTTCTTCCAACACACAGGTTCAATCCGGAGAAGAGAGCAGCGGCGACAGCAGCACCACCGCTACCGCCACCGCCACCGCTGCTAGCAGCAGCCAGAGCGGCCTCGGCCTGCTGGGCCTCTTGGCCCAGGCCCTGTACATCCTCGTCTCCGCCGCGGGGGTGGGCATGGGGTCCGGCCTGATGATCTCCAAGCTCCTGAAGAGCCTAGACACGCTCAAGAGCAGCCCGGTGCGGCAGGTGGCCATCCTCATGCTGGGGGGGTACCTCTCCTTCAGGTGAGAAAGCGGAGTCACGGAGCCCCCCCCCCTCACGCTTTTTGTGGTTGCTTTGTGTGAGCACGGGGCCCCGCCGGCGCGGATTCAAGGAGCGTCCCCCTCCCCCTCACGTTTTTTTTGTGGCTTTGTGGCCCTTTCCGGATTTGGTCCTTAACTTCCTATAAGTTTTTTAAACCGCGTGTTTGTCGCGCTTTGTTTGGTGGTATGCCTTTGTCTGAGAGCCCCATAACGATTTTTTTGGTGCCCTGTTGTGAGCAACGGGTCCCGGCAAGGATTCACGGAGCCCCCCCCCCCTTTCTCCAGACGGCGTAGACTGGCTGGCCTCCAGAGTGGATGGGGCCGAAGCTCAACAGATATACCACATGTTTTGTATGTTTCTGGGCCCACCCGCCCCACCGGTTTCCTGTGATTTAGTTCCTTTTGTTAACTCGTGTGGTTCTTTTTTCACGATCCTTCCTCTTGTTTCGATTTGCTGTTTATTTAACTCATGTTTTTTCTTTTTTCCATGACCCACCGGCTTGTTTCTTGTGATGTGTGTACTCTATTTCACTTCACGCGTTCATTCTTTTTTCATGACCCAGTCGCTTGCTCCTTTTGACCCCTTTCCTTTTTTTTTTTTTGCCGTGGACAGTCTGAGCGAGGCTCTTGACCTGTCGGGAATCTTGGCCGTCTTCTTCTGCGGTCTTACGCTTAGCCACTATGCGTGGCACAGCCTGGGGGAGAACGCACAGGTGAGCTGACGACTTGTTGTTGCTGTTGCTGTTGCTGTTGTTGTTGTTGTTATTGTTGTTGTTGTTGCTGTTGTTGTTGTTGCTGTTGTTGATGTTGTTGTTGTTGTTGTTGCTGTTGTTGATGTTGTTGTTGTTGTTGTTGCTGTTGCTGTTGCTGTTGCTGTTGTTGATGCTGTTGTTGTTGTTGCTGTTGTTGATGCTGTTGCTGTTGTTGTTGTTGTTATTACTGTTGTTTTGTCTTCCGACCTCTCTACCCAGTACCTTCATTTGTTCGCACTGATCTCACACTTGACGCGGTCGATTCCCGTGGTCACAGGCTAACGTTACCCAAACATAATGGACCCGAAGGGTCCATAAGCTAATTGAGTGATTCTGAGCTTTTCCAATGTCACTACAATGTAGTAATAAACAATAGGCTAGACACAGACGACGCACGAACCATCACCATGTTTGTGGCAACCACCACCAAAGTCGTGGCAAGGACAACAGCAACTGCCACCACGACAACTAACAACAACAACACCAACTTCGACTTTGTCGTACTTGTTGCCTTGAGGTTGTCGTTGGCTTGTACAACTCAGTACTGGGCGATGAGTGGTGTTGGGCTTGTTCGACTGTGTCGTATTGTTTTGCCTCGCGTTTTGTCGTAGGTTGGGACGATTGAATCATGAGCGTCGAGTGTTGCTGGTGCGTAACTAAGAACACCGGTCGGATCAACACAGACGACCAGAATCGGCATGAAGCTTGAAGACAACGCAGCGACAACAATACCACCATAGCAACACCACGAACAACCAACACCCAGCAGTAGCAGCAGCAACGACCACTTACGCGCGCCACAAGACGTGCATTCCCGATCTCTGTGGCACGTGCGAACGTGATCAAGCAGGCGGCATCGTAGATCTCAGCAGCAACAACAACCACCAACACCAACAACAACAACAACAACAGCAGTAAGAGATAACCACCTACACACACCACAAGGCATGTGCATCCACGAAACCCCTCTGTACGTTGTTTTTCGGCACCCGTGCGATCGACCAGGTGGCATCGAAGATCACCTCCGAGATCTACTGCAGTGGCAACAACTGACAACAGTAACACCAACCACCACCACCATCACCAACAACAACAGTAAGAGATAACCACCTACACACATTACACGGCATGTGCATCCACAATACCCCTCTTGTACATCGCTTTACCGCACGCGCGCGATCGACCAGGTGGCATCGAAGATCACCTCCGAGACGATCTCGATGATCGCCGAGGCCTACTGCTTCGTCGCAATCGGGCTTAGCGTCCACGAGTTCGACGCGAGCCAGTGGTGCTGGGGGTTCCTCTTCGACAGCACGTGTC